GTTTACCAATATTCAACTCTGAAAGTCTCCACTGATGCTGGCTGCAGATATCTGGATGGAGGCGAGTGGAATGCATGTCACTGGCTGTGGAGCGCAGATAGCAGGAATGCGCGCAGCCTTCAACTAGTTAACATTCTAACTTTGCCTTGATATATAAAAGATGGCAAGCGGCATCTTTAAATAAGAAATTTAAAATAAGAGTAATCCCCCAGATTTTAGCTTTGGAAGAAAAACTTTACGGCGATTATGTAAATTTAGGAAACTCGATCAGCTGTTTATTTTAAAGAAGCGGTACTTTCGCCACTCACATTTTACCGAAACCAGTGGAACACCAATATGTGAAATTGGAAAATGTGGCATTTCTTAAGCCAGTGGACAGAGGCTATTAGTCGATGATCGTTGCCTCTAGAAAAGTTCTTGTCTCAGCTAATGGCCTGCAAGCACCTTTGGTTGCGTGAATTATGCATGCATAAGCACATCAAAATATGTGTTGTTATTCACACCTCTGGCTTTAGCTGTCAAGAAATTAAATTTGTTAGTTTTCTAGCACTGATCACCAAATTTGAATTCACTTATGAATGCATTTTTGTACTGAGGTTGGCTCCATAAAAAATATGTATTGTTAAGTCGATGCAAATATTTATATAACTTCTTTAAATTAATTAATCGATTAAATAATAATAAATTTTGGGTTTAAAATTAAATTAAGAAATAAAAGTGTAAATTTGTTGTTTTCAAGATAAATTTTAATCATTTTTTTACACCCTAAACCCATAAAAAATGGGTATAAGGGTATATTGTTTTTGTGCGAAATCCAAATGTATGTAACAGGCAGAAGGAAGCATCTTCGACCCCATAAATTATATATATTCTTGATCAGCATCAACAGACGAGTCGATCTAGCCATGTCCGTCTGTATGTCCGCCCGTCCGTCCGTCCGTATGAAATTTTAGATGTAGGTACTCCTAGTTCCCGCGCAGATCAAGTTTATTTCCGACGATCGATAACTTACTCTATTTCCAAGCAATCGATAAAAATCGATATCGATATCCTGTTTTTTTTGGCAATTTTGGTAAATAATAAGAGCTAGAGTCACCAAACTTGGCATATAGCTTCTAAAATAAAATATACATATGCATTTGATGTTGAAGGAAGAGGGTTCAGGGTATCCCCTAGTCGGGAGCTCCCGACTAGAAACTCTTACTTGTTTTTTACTAGCGCAACAATAGACGCATACGGTGAACTACTAGGCCGGATTACTTTACTTGCCAGCAGCTCGTTTACGGTGTCGGTAACAATCCTTCTTTCGTAATATGATTGTCTGCGAGGGGGGCTATGAAATGGGGTCGTGTCTGTCAGTCGAATGTTAATTGTACACTTTGCTGGCCCGCAACTATCCGAGAACTTATCGGTATAATGACCAAGACCAAATTCCCTACCTATATCGCCAACGGCATTTAATTCGCACAACCAATCTCTAAACGGCCTGCCCTCAGTCGGGGATGCATTCGTGTTTACAAAAGAGTTATAGAAACTAACCCTTAAATCTTTCGGATCACTATTACTACATTCTAGAGCCTTAGCAAACCGTGGTGCACCAAACGATTTGTATACTAATGCTACAGGGTCATTAACTGAAATTGTATTTTTACTTTCTTCAACATTCTTGTGTATTACAAGTTTAAGTTTAAATATGTTGAGTACATCTCTGCCGAGCAGCAATGGCGTTGATAAAATAAAATCGTGAATAACAAAAACTTTAATTTCATAATATTTTTCTATATTCTATTTCTATATACTTGACTACGTCTGCTTCCTCCAATTTTCCTTGCTGAGATATGTTTCGCATGGCAATGATATAGCTCAAAAGTGATTCTCCTTTTCCAATCGAGAGGCTTTGCAATCGTTTTACAGCCTCATGATTGAACATCGCAAGGCCGAATACATTGACTAGAGAATCACTTAGCTCCATCCAGGTTTTCGTCTTTTCGTACATCATATACTCCTTGGCTGAACCGCATTGTAACCGGTTGGCAAGTGACCAGCGTAGACCATCGTCTAGTTTATATATTGGCTGCTTTTTCCAGCTCTTGAATCCAAATGTGAACTGATAAATGGTCACTCCGGAAAAGAATGGCACGGTGGCCTCGACATCGTTGACATCTACACGGGGACGTCGATCTGGTACCTCAACTCCACTTTCAAGTTCGAAAACACGTGCCTTCAGCTTTGCAAGATTTTTTCGAGCAGTGTATAGGGAGATCTCATTTATCACGGACGCTAACTTATCTGAACCATTCGCTTCTGAATTGGCAACATTCGCACCAGTCAGCAGAGGACACATGGCTAGGTTCATCCTCAATCAACACAGCATACTGCTCATTTTTAGATGGCTGTTTCAAAAGTTGGCCTGACTCCAAATTTTCAGCATTCAGATCCACAGCTCCTAACGAACTCCGGGACTCTTCTTCGGCGACACGCAATGTCTAAGCAGCCTCGGCCATTATTGCTTTCACCAGAGCATGGAACTGGTGGAGAGACGCTTCGTTGCACACATGGACATTTTCCTCCGCCAGGAACTGCTTAAGTTCTAATTTTGTCAACGTATTGATATCGGTGTAAGGCATTGATCAGAGAACATTTGTGTATACCCCACACCTGATTTGTAATGCTCTATATATATTGATACTCGTTTTTCGATTATTTTATTAATTCCTCTTAGTCGGCGTGACCAGGTTTTTATACCCTGAACCCATTAGAAATGGGTATAAGAGTATATTGTATTTGTGCAAAATCCAAATGTATGTAACAGGCAGAAGGAAGCATCGCCGACCCCATAAAGTATATATATTCTTGATCAGCATCAATAGCCGAGTCGATCTAGCCATGTCCGTCTGTCTGTCTGTCCGTCTGTACGTATGTATGAACGCAAGGATCTCAGAGCCTAAAGGAGCTAAAGATTTTAGATGTAAGTGCTCCTAGTGGCCGCGAAGATCGAGTTTGTTTCTAATAATCGATAACTTACTCCGTTTCCAAGCAATTGATAATCTATAAATCTATATCGATATCCTGTTTTTTGGGCAATTTTGGTAAATAATAAGAGCTAGAGTCACCAAACTTGACATATAGATTCTAAAATTGGAAGAAGAGGGTTAAGGGTATCCCCTAGTCGGGAGCTCCCGACTAGAACCTCTTACTTGTTTATTTTAATTCATTTGGTGCTGGAATAAGAGGGTTTAGGGTATTCCCTAGTCGGGAGCTCCCGACTAGAGCCCCTTACTTGTTTTTATTTAATTATTTGTTATTTTAATAATAAAGCACAAAGTCGCCGCTTACAAAATATTGGGTCCAAATTCATATTTTTTTATACAAAATAAAGAAATGATATAAATATTTGCATCGACCTTAAAATGCATTGTTTTGACGGAGCCAGGCTCAGCACACGAAATGCATTCACATATCAACAGAAATTTTGGGTAGGTCGTGATTGGCGCTAAAAAACTAAGAAAATCTATTTCTTTGCCAGCCAGACCCTTTGCTAGAGCAGTGAATAAAAACAAATCAAATATACTGTTATGCATGTATATTCACACGCATACAAACATAGTTGCTTGCACGGCCCTCATAGAGCCGAGCTGAGAGCAAATTCTATTTTTAGTTTTTTCGTTCTCTCGGCTGTGAGAGCGCAATGCGACAGATTCCGTTTTCGTTCTCAATTTTCAAAAAATCAAGCTGCAAAGTAGCATTTTGTTGTATGGCGGTACTCATCTTAGTGTTTATATTGTCCTTGGCAATACAGTGCCAAACGTGCCAGGAAGAAAAATACGACAGACATCCAACTTATCCAGAAGTTAATGAAACTCTATTTCCCGAACATCCGCATATCCTGATCATAAATATTATTCAACCAACAAAAATTTCGGTTCGAGAGCAATAAACAAGTTTTTTTTAAATTGGCACAGAAAGCACCTATTAAATATAAGGCAGGAGATATAAAAAATGCTCTACACGAATTGCTTTTTACTATGGCGTTTCTAAAATTGTAATAGTCGAAAAATACAAAAAATCGTTAAATTCTGCACTAGTAACCTTCATATAAGCTGGGAACAACAATTTTGGAGACTCACGCTAACAAAAGCTCCGTTAATGGTCAGGTAGATATTCCACGCAATCCTCAGTAATAATGATTATGATGATTATAAGGAAGAAATCCATTAATTTCTTTTATAAGTATTTTTTGTAGTAACGTTACAACACATTCAAAAAAATTTGAGAAATTTCGGCGAGACAACATTGGCTAGCTCAGACAAAAACAGAAGACAAGCCATACAAAACGTAGTAAAACATGCAAGGTATTACAATTGTACGCCAGGACAAGAAATATTTGGAAAGGTTAACAAAACATTACGTTCAAAATTATCATCTAAATTAAAAAGGAAATAGTAAGCAAGACCAGCAGTAAGACAAACTAGGTTCCGGTAGGCGAAAAAGGTAGTATGAGCAATCTCTACTCAGGAGATGCCGGCTAGGGGATACCGTCGACCCTCTTACCAACACCAAAGCAGCGAGCGATTCCAGCTCATAAATAAGAAATGAATGAAAATGAAAAATGAATGAATGGGCTCGAACCTGTAACGGACTGCACCATTTACTACCATCTATACTCGTCAGCCATAATACAAATTCAAATTTATCGAAAATAAATAAATGAAGTGGTAGGACATAAAAATATACAATTTTTATGCACAAATATTCAGCTCTTAAAGGTTCTGAGATAGACGCGTTCCTACATACGGACGAACATGCGGAGACAGTCGGACGGACAGCCAAGCGGACATGGCTAGATCGACTCAAGTATTGATACTGTTCAAGAATATATATACTTTATGGGGCAAATACGCTGTTTTCTACTTGTAACATACAATTTCTGAAAAACAATAAGCCATTTTCACTTATTTGCAATGGATTCAGGCACTAACCAAAAAATATACATATGTTGATTAGTGGTTCAAAGGTGATTAAATGTGAAACTTAAAATTTCTTTTATTTTCAGATTTTTATTTATTAATAATATATTAAAATTATGATTGATCTGAACTATTTTTTACTTTTAATTGCGCGCTTTGGATGTTACTTTCGTATACTTGGTCGCTTGGATAATAATCTAAAAGTTTTCTATTGACAATTTCATGTGTGGATTCACGAAGCTCTAATTCATTTTCCGAAATTATTTTTCGGACTAGTTCATCATCCGTTCCTAGTTCATTTTGAACAGAGGCTTGACTCCAGTTTTCCAAATTAACAATATTTAGAGATTGTTTCGAATGTCTAATCATATCGATTCCATTTTTTTTACAAAATTCTAATATCCATGCAACCACAAAAAAGCATGCTGCATTCATTGGAAACGCTCGTAATAATGTCGAATTTAGTCCGCGAAAAAAAAACGGTATGCCCTCCTTTTCATAATTTTTTACTGCACAGTCGACGAACCCATTATATAGAGCATGTTTTCCAAGGGCATCTGCTTGCAAATGTGTTTTGACGACATCGATGGGATAGCAGGCTAACCATGAGGACATTCCTGCGCAGCCTCCTGCCATAAGAATATAAGGTACATTGGGTTTATCTTTTAGCTGCATTAAATATTCGTATGAAACGAAGTAGCTGGCAAAACCTTACAAAAAATAAATAAAAAGTTAGTTATTATTCCATAGCTGGGTTGGAAATTATATAAGATTCGCTTTTACCTGGAATATCCCTAAGTATTGTTGCTGTAAGTCCTTTAAATGTGCCTTTGAAACCTTCTGTTCGATGTATGTAAAGCAAACAATCAATAGGTCCTTTAAATTTATGCTGGCTGTCGATCTGTTTCGACAATTGCAGTCGTGTTTTCGCTAACTCCATGGGCGAACATATGAAGCCCTGTGCAACACCAGCAGTGGCTCCAGCCCAAAAGTGCGACATTAAAGAATTTGGGTTATCAGATAATCTCTGTACGTTTCCATAAACTCCGAACACTATTGCGTTTACTAAACCGATTCCCATCATTGGACTACTGATTCCCCGATATAAGCCACGAATATTATCTAACAATAATATTGTTTTTAAACAGTGAATTGTTCCTTTATATTTTGGATTCTTAGGGTCATCAGTTTGCAAATGAACTTTTACTGTATCGAAAGGGTGGCCGACAAGTACTCCTGCAGCACCTAAAATATTTATTATTAATTATATGTGTAGTTAATAAATTTGCAGGCAAAAATCATTGCCTACTGAGAATTAAAGACGTTTCATTAGATGATCTACATCAGATATGGATAAATTAAGAAAATATATTACTTCTTTTTGTGGCACTTTCCATTACAATGTTAAGTCTTAGGTCGAGAATATCTGACATACCAAAGACAATATAAGCACTAAGATGAGCAACGCCCATACATTTGAATGCGACGCAAAATTTCTAGCCTGGCCTTTCACACGACATGCCAGCAGAGTGTTTGTTAGTTGTCCAAAAACCAGACAAACCAATGCCGAAGTCACAACTTGCTGATGCTGACTCGAGCAACGAAGTTACTCGCCAGCCTGTCTTCAGCAAAACTGGTAGCTTGCGTCGCTTTTTTTTCGAACTACATTGAGCGAAAAGTTTAAAACTTTGCTTTATCCATGAAATGGATGCTTTATTTCAATGATATATTACACTAGATACTAACTATAAATTTGACAGTAAAATTAAAGAATTAAATAATTATTATACAAGGCGGTTCTTGTGCAATAATTATGTTAAGAAAATAGCACACATAGATTGATTTCACTTTTGTTTTTGGACAGTGTACGTTATAGAAGTTCTTGTCTCAGCCAATGTCGTACAAGCACCTGTTTGTATGTGTAAATTATGCATGTATAAATACATAAATATATGTATATGTGTGTTATTCACTGCTTCGGTTGAACATGAACATGTTACAAAACGAATACGCAGGTATATGCCAGATCTAAAAGACAGAACTAATTAAATTAAAGCATTTCAAGCCGACTCGAAGGTAATATTAAGTTATGACCCCATTATAAGTATAATATAATTCGCCGTGTTCCCTAGGTACCGATATAGCATCGGTAGCTAATTCGAGCGGCGACCTTGTACTGTTAAATTCCAATCAAAAATAATTTGATCAAAAAAAAATTAATAAAATGTAACTCTAAAATATTTTGTATTACTTAAAAATAATAATTTTACCGATAATTTCAATTTAAAAAATTACATAAATATTTGCATCGACTTAAAAATACATATTTTACATGGAGCCAACCTCAGTACAAAATATGCATTCATATGTCAACAGAAGTTTGGGATAGGTCATGATCAGCGCTAGAAAACTAAGAAAATCTTTTTTTTTCTCAGCCAGAGACTTCCAGTGAAGTGAATAAAAACACATTCAAATATGCTGTTATGTATGTATATTTACACGCATACAAACGTAATTGCTTGCACAACCGAAGCTAAGAGTACATTCTATTTTTAGCTGTTATCTCGGCTGTGAGAGCGCAATCATACAGATTTCGTTTTCGTTCTCAATTTTCAAAAAATCAAGCTACATAGTAGCATTTAGTTGTATGGTGTTATTCATCTTAGCGTTAATATTGTCTTTGGAGATACCTTGAATGCTGTGCCAATTTGTCGTTAACTGGTTGAATAAAGTTCAGGGCACTATCGAGTAGAGCACTATACTTTTTTATACCCTGAACCCATTAAAAATGGGTAAAACGGGTATATTGTATTTGTGCAAAGTATAAATGTATGTAACAGGCAGAAGGAAGCATCTTCGATCCCATAAAGCAAATATATTCTTGATCAGCACCAATAGCCGAGTCGATCTAGGAAGGTCCTTCAGTCTGTCTGTCTGTCTGCCTTTCCGCCTGTCCGTATGTATGAACGCAAGGAATTCAGATAATTGAATTGATGATGTAGGTGAAATGAAAAATGTAGGGCCTCCTAGTGCCTGCGCAGATCGACTTTGTTTCCGAAAGTTGATAACTTACCCCGTTTCCAAGCAATCGATAAAAATCGATATCGACACCCTGTTTTTTGAGCAAATTGGGTAAATAATAATTGCTAGAGCCACCAATCTTGATATGTTTAATCTAGAATTGTACACATATATCCAGTATCTTTTATTTTATACCTATCGCCACCTCCCCGCTTCCACCGCAAAACTATAAATAAAGTTATTAACCAAACTTATATTGCCAACCAATTTAAGCCACAATATAAATGCAATCGAACTTTTGAGAATACACAAATATTCTATAGTACAATAAGATATACTGAAGAAAATTTTATTTAGATCGATTAAGAAGAACCCAAAAGTTACTGCGCAATTGGATGGAACAGCGCAAATTTCAAGAATTTCTGTATGCAAATACACAAACACATGTGCAGGCTAGTCTGCTTCGAATTCTATCAACGGCATTGCAATTGCGATTGTTTTCTGGTTGTTCTAGTCGGGAGCTCCCGACTAGGGAAACCCTGAACCCTCTTATTCCAACACCAAATGCATCTCGAGCTACGCGCTCGTTTGTAGTAATAAAAATAAATTAAAACAGTATGAGATTCTAGTCGGGATTCTCCGACTATGGGAACTCACTAATTCCAAACAAAAAGTTCAGCTCGCGGTACGCGCCTATTTGTAGTAAATAAAGATAAATTTAAAAAAATGTTCCCTTGGCGGCGTTCGAACTCGCAACTAATCGTACTACTTGCCACAGCAGCCAATAAAAAATAAAAATAGTTTCCTCGGCAGAGATCGAACTCGCGACAGACCACACCACATGCCACCGCCTCTTCTTAACATCCAAATCAATAATTAAGTCGTAGTGAAAAAAACCAATTTAAATAGTAGCACAGAAGTCAATACAATCATAATTAAAATGTTTGCTCAATCGGAGGCGTTTTTTGATCTCTTAAGAATCTCAAGTGTATGAGTGCTTATGGCATTAAAATAGAAGAGAGGTAGCATGATCTTAACATAATCTTCTATTGACATTGCTATTGATAACCTACTAACATATATGAGGTATTTGACCGAACATCCCGGCCGCCTTGAAAGAATGATCTTTCAAGTGACAGGTAGAACAGCCAGCTTTTGAACTGGCAGGCAACAGAATCCGGTTATTCTTGCCAGTCACAACAGACTCAACACGCCCTAATTTCCAGTGAAATTTCGGTGTGTCGTCCACATGTATGATTACCATAGAGGAAACCGTGAGATTTGGGGACGCCGAAGTCCACTTTGTCTTAGATCAAAGCTCGTTTACATACTCCGCAGATCAATTAGATAGAATTGCTGTTAACAGATGTGATCTGCTTGTAACTATCCAAGTTGGAGATGTTGGAGATAATCTCACGCTCGTATCCTGCAGTGAGAGCGCTAGTCATTGGGATCAGATTATAGCGGTGACAGCGGGCGAGATTAGTACTGCCACTATCTCAACTTGCTGTGTTCAGCTCCTCAAAGGTAAACTGGGTATGAGCGAGGCTACGCAGCAGCAGTCTCTTTGCGCTCTTGACAGCAGTCTCCCAAAGTATGAAGCCCTAGGTGGAATGTAATGAAAGATTATTTCTTGAGAGGAACAATATGATAGGATAGCATCTGGAGTGCAAGCGTTGAACATGAACTTCTTCAACTCGAGTAGCTTGTTGGATGCGTTGTCACAATAGATATGTGATACTGGTCCACGATGGACAACCATGCGTTTCAATGATTCCAAAAACTTAACATTGAAAGGTTCACACCTTTCAATTTCAATGTAAACAGGGACATGCAGACAAATTGGCGACATTGGATTTTATGGGACCCTTGCCACTTATTCGAAGACAGGTATTTACTGGAGCGTAGGTGTCGACTCCACCGTGGCGAAATGGCTTAGGTGGCAATCCCTGACTTGAAGTAGAACTGAATGATATTTGACACAGTGCAAGAATGAACAATGATGCGCGCTAAGGCTCTTGCGTGTACGACACAGAATTAAAGCCTTAGCAGTCCAACTAATGCCTTTGGTCCTGCATAGGAATTGGAACCTGGACATTGCCATACGAGTCCGTGGAACGCACATACACGCAACAGCCGTGAGCACGTATTGATGCGATGTATTGATGATGTGAGCTCAGCTTGCAAGCAAAAACGGGGTACTGAAATCGACGACTATTCTTCGAGAGACGTTACGAAATTTCTCTTTGCTTGTGGAAGTGATTGCGTTTTCATCGAAGTTTAAATCCTTTACCGATTCATCGTCTATGTCGGCGGGATAATTGGAGTGGCACTTAACCACTGGGAAGTGTCCTCGGCGAATAATAATTCTGATGCTCTGCAAGATATATTTTGAAAATTCGGATCTACTGGGCTGACTAAAACTTGTTCGTAGATTTTCATTCAATGAATGCATGAGGCGTCAAACACGACAAGTTACTTCGTTGAATAAAACATATCTGAAGGACTGGAAAATTGTCTTCGAGCTTAATCTATCCAACAGCCAGGCATTCGAAAAGTGCATCTCTACTAAGAAGAAGATCAATCCGACCGTACCTGTGAAATGTTTTGTCTGCAAGTGGCGTATTCGCGGGCAACCTCCAACGGTAGTTGTACAGTTGTTAATTTTAGTCGAGGGCTCCCCTATGCTGCGAATATCGAACTGATGCTTATCACTGCGTAGATGCAGCTGTTAGGCAAATATCAATTTGCCTCTATCAATTGCCCTATGTAGACGATGCTGATGTAGGCGGCCAAAATGCAGTAGCGTGTGATGGCAATGCTGGCAGCTTCGACAACGATAGTTAGAAGGACACTGAGCCATCCAATGTCCTGATTGAAAGCAATTAATGCAAAGTCCAGCACTTTACGACTCCGTCTTGAAACTGATAACATTGTAAAATTTTATGGTCGGAGCTAGAGCAAAGAATGCATGTTGGATCAGTAATAGCAAATGATAATCCCTTGCTGGACTTGTACACGTGCTTTTGTTTCGAAGAATCAGCCATTCGATTTGATGCGATGCCGCTTGATTGCAGAAACTGACCATGACGTTCCATAATAATTGTGCAGTAAGCCCAATTTAGCAATGTTCGTAATAGGGAGCTGCATGAATTAGAAAAAAAAACAACGTTCAAATGAACAATGCCAAAAACGAGTTGAGTGAAATTGAATGCAAAGCCGAATATGCTTGAGTGAGTGCCTGCGGTCACGTAGAACTCGGACGCCCAACATTGAAACGAAAGAAAACGAATTGAATGAGTGGGAGTGCGTTGGAATAAAAGGTTTCGTTTCGAATGCATTCGAATGATCAACCGCCTTTTTAATTGTCGTTGTCTTGTCGCGCATAAAGATAAGGACGAAAATGAAAAAGAAGAAAGGGGAAAAAAAACAACTATATGCGCATGCAAAATACATACAGTCTCGTCACCGTTTTTTCCTTTGCCCATTTCTTTTGACTGCTTGCGTCTGTTGTATCGAACAAATTGAAAGCACGCATTCAAGTAATTCGAGTTTCTTCGGCTGTGCCAAATTTTTAATTCCACTTTACTCTTTATTTATGAGGTATGAGGCACAACACGTAATTGGTACTCAATTGGTACTCATTCGATTCATTGTTAACCTCGCACTCACTCAATTCAATTTAATTTGAGTCCATACAATTCAACATATGTTGTGATCCAGCTCTCTAGTACGTAAGTCAAGAAATTCGTTCCACTTGTCACGATTCTGCTGGTCACATTTTCCGATGACGATGAATATCAACTTAGCTTGGGAAATATCTGATCTGGTACCCAATGACGATAATGATGAATACAGGGCTGACGCATTGTCCAGCAGACTGCGGAGTTGATTACCGTCCGGTTTGTTGACTGGCTGTAAATTGAAGAGCAATGCTATTATGACTAAAAATGTAATTGTAGGATTGTCATAAAGTTCACTTAAACGAGCAAGAGCCTTCGGGTAATTTTCCTGGGTAAGGCCTTTAAAAAAATTCAGCAGATGATTAAACTTTTCAATGTTCGAAAGAGAGTACTCAAGACCGATAATCTGATTTTTGAACTCTGCTCGTTTCCCATTCAACACAGGCAGCGCTGGAACTGGAAAAATTCATAGAACTTGCGAGTGCATTTAAATTGTGGCTTAAATTGGTTGGCAATATAGGTTTGGTTAACAACTTGATTTTTGGATCTGCAGTGGTAGCGAGGAGTTGGCCATAGGTATGATATGGAATATACTGGATATATGCATTCTAGAAGCAACATCTCAAGGATGGTGACATTAGTTTTTCTTATTTACCCAATTTTCAAAAAAAAGCAGGATGTCGTTATCAATTGTTATCGATTGCTTGGATAGGGAGTAAGTTATCAAACATCGGAAACAAACTCGATCTCCGTAGGCACTAGGAGGACCTACAGCTTTATGGGGTCGGAGATGCTTCCTTTTGCCTGTTACATACATTTATACTTTGCACAAATACAAAAACCCTTTTTACCCATTTTTAAATTATTTAAGAAATTTGCGCCCAAGCAACGTTACTTACGCCGATGGTGATAACACTACTTTGCTTTTTACCTTATTCCTACTTTCACTATAATTATTTCCACTAAAAGAAGCAAAAAATAAATTCGATTTAGCGCTGGGGCTCATAAATAAATGATCCCCACAGGGAACATTAAGCCTAGCCAACTGGTTGGTATGTGATAACATTCAATCAAATTGGAGAATAGGCGTAAGGTTATGAACAAGACTTTGTAAATCAAGATAGACGAGGTTTTCGATTGAAATTGTTATCTCACTTAGTCAGCTGTTGCAACTACTAAAAAGTCAATAAAAAAAGTCTGGTACTAACTTTCAAACCAATTACACATAAAAAAATTGTTCCGGAAAAAAAATGTACAAAAATAAACCTTGGCCGACTTACCACTCTTTGGGCTTGACACTTTTTAATAGTTGTAAAATGGAAGCACTTTGTCGAGAAAAAAATGACTGCACTACTGCACATATTATAAATATTAAGTTAATGTAAAAAAAATATATATTACCTCCAAAGAGACCAGCAATAAAATCCACAATCATTTTTGTTTGTCAGTAGCCACAGGTTTTTGCAATTTTTTCCTTTACTGTGGGAGGTCGTATGACAATTAGGTCTGTAACTAATTTTTAAAAAATGTTATTGATTTAATAATCACACTAGTAAGAAACTATGCTCTAGTCGGAAGTGCCCGACTAGGAGATATACTAAAATAAGATTGACGTCACTAGCATGTTATGTTTGCTAGCTATGGACAACGATCGATGAATTAAGAACAACTTTTAATGCGCAGAGAATAAGATAAGCTACGTTTCTGGCTGGTTATAGGGTCAGAGATGACTCCTTCAATAGAAAATGGGCTCGAGGTAAACAGTAGTAGTATTGATTAGTTAATAAATCTGGCTTTAAATTAAGGGAATTCTATATATATTTTGAAGCAAATTAAAATTTTGAAATTCGTTGTTCTATCTTTGTGACATCAAGAATAAAATACCCTTGTAAAATAATGACACTCCTTTGGAGATATGCGAGGAATAAGAAAGGTTGTACTAGCTTTGTTCATTGGAAATATCTTTTTCTTTCTAAAAGCTATGTGATATGAAAGTCTGATCTAATTGCTCCATATAAAGAGATCATAGAGAAGCTAATAAATGCCGATTTGATCAAGCTAATCACCGAACGATTATTCCTTAATCCGATACTACTGCATACTGCATATAAAAACGCATAATTTTGGTTAACATATCGTGATATATAAGCAGCTGTATGATATGTGGGTTACACCCGGCAGATCTGACATATGTTCACCGAAAGTCCTATAATTAAAAGAATAATTTACATAGAAACAAATAGACTGACTCATCTGTTGTTACTGATCAAGGATAGGTAAAAAATAAATTCTTTGATGCGTGAGACAATTGACCAGTGACCAAATTGTAACATAAACTCTACAAGGGCATAAAACTGTGCCACGGCTTTGTAAAACCCACGACCATAAGGTAATGACACAGAAAAGAGAGACAAACAAACGTTCCTTATCTTCTATCATACAGAGCTCACAACATTAAAAGTTAATTTTAAAGAAAACGACAACTGAACAATGCCTTCTGCAGATGCAAGAATATACAAATTCGGATGGACATGGTCATATAAAGAATATATAGCTTCATTCTGACTGGCACAAAAACATTCCGGGTATTCATACAATTTCTTCAGTGCCATATGAATTTACGAACGTCTATAATCATTTTTTGCCCTTGTAGAGGAAATTAAAATGTTATGAAATATGTAACGCATAGATGGAGACATTTGGACTCCATAAAGTATATCCATATAAGTTAACAGAGGCCAACGACACTAGCTCCAGATGCTGATATAGCACTGGGCCGGATGTTTTTACGAGTTAACAGGGGTCAGCAAAATGCAATTCTAGCGGCCGTTGTGACAAGCACACAATAGCTTAGGTAATTTTGATCAATCTTTTGTAAATTTAGTTTTAATTCGGATTTCACTGAGGCACATCGGCCCATCGATTTCACGCATAAATTAATTCACTCACTACGGCGTATCGGCCTAGTGTTTTATAATCCATAACTAATTAATTAATTTTGCGTTTCTTAAATAATCAAAATAAAGTCTTATAACGAAAATCCGCGAGGACTTCTTATTCAAATATTAATTGGCGCCCAACATTTTCGGACTATATTGTGCTATTATTTTGTGTGCTGTGCAGTGTAAAGAACTAGTTTACCAGTACAAGACACTTCGCTGGAGCTCTTCGGGCAGCGACTTGTCACCAAACCAGCGCGCAAGCGTGCTTGGGCAGTGAAGTAAACCAACACCCATAGACTTCAGCGAGGGATCATAGAGAAGCATTCGCGACTGCAGCGTGGGAAGCAGTAGGTTTATACGTATATCACTCAACCCTTCTAGGACCAAATAAAATGAAATTAAATTTTTCAATATGCGTGATTTATTTAAAATAAAGTCCAAAAATACATAAGAGAGAAATATTAAAATTGCAGCAATTGTGTTCCCAACTTACTTTGAGTAACACAATTTTGCATCCATCAGCAATTTTCAATAAGCTCCCCTCTCTCAGCATTCATTTAATTTACTGTTGTTGATTTACCCTTAAAATTGTGTTATTATTGTTGACGATCCCTGAACAGCTCGTTTCTCAGGTACAGAGACCGCTCTGCAAGGGGATATGAGTCAGACGACTCCATAACCTTAGATAGGGAAGCCGTCCCGCAAAAAATCGCTGACAACAGGTGTAAAATAAGAATGGAGCCTGAGCAGCTTATGCCGCAGTGGTCTCCGTCTTAAAAGCACAGAATGCAGCATTGAAGCAAAGAGATGCAGAACTGAGGGCTTCCTTAAACGCTCAGATACAAGAATTGGCAGGCAGAATACCTGCCAGTAGTATAGAAACGCCGCCGGTCCAGGCATTTGAATCGGTGGAAATCAGAAACGACGTCCAATGTAATGAAACATTAGACGCCGTTAAATGCTTACCAGCATTTACAGGGGTGCCAGAGACGTACGCCTCTTGGAGACAAGCTGCGATAGCGACATATAAAATTTACAAGCCATACGACAGTAGCTCACGCCACTACCAGGTGGCACAGTAATACATTTTTGATGCCTTAATAAGCCGTTTCGATTTCACATACAGGGATAAAAGACGCATTCACGTCATAGAGCAAAAGATGAACACCCTAAGATAGGCCTTATTAACGATTTTACAATACTATGACGAGGTAGAGAAAAAGCTTACTCTTCTCACCAATAAGGTCAACATATCCTAGGAACCAAGCATGGCACAAGGGCTCTGAGTTCAGAGATGATGCGTTGCGTGTTTTAGTCTCAAGCGTAGCCTGACGGATGTCCTGTTCGCGGCAAAGCCTAAGGACTTACCGTCGGCCCTAGCTCTAGCGCAAGAGGTTACAAAAGCCTACAAACGAACGGCCACGTCTGGGCGTTTAAGCAGACAGAGGAGGCAGGGAGTCAATCACACAGCTCATGAGCCTGATCAAGATTCAAGTTCGTATGCTAGCTCTGCAGCAGCAGCAGAACAGCAAATTGCCGACGACGAAGGTAGCGGGTATGACTCAGACACTTAGTTTTTTCGGGGAAGCTCCCTGCTTCCCTACATCAGTAGAAGAGTTGCAAGGATCCAGATGAGATTTCTCATCGACACGGGCGCTTCCAAGAATTGTATCAGGCCACATAAAAATTTACCCATTCTCTACCCATTCTATACACGGCACCACGAAGATCACTCATAAGTGCCTTATATCTCTGTTCGGCAAAACTGCCAAATTTTCTTACTCCCAAACCTGTCCACATTTGATGGAATTGTGGGCCTCGAAACAAGCAGGAGTTTCCCTTTGTTTTTCTTCTGGCCAACTCAAATGTGGCGCAGAAACTGAACAAATCGGATTCCACAGGTGCGCGGATGTTAACTATTCCCTATAACACATCAGTGGTGGCCACTATCAGGACCACTGATGAACATCCAGTTTATGTCCGACTGTACCCTTATCCCATGGGAGCAGCGGAATTCGTTAATAAAAAGATTCAAAGCCTTCTGAAGAACGGTATCATCAAAAAATCTGTTTCCCCCTACAACAACCCCATTTGGTTGGTGGGCAAGAAGGGGACAGACGAGTTTGGTAACAAAACATCGCAGACAGATACCCTATGCCTAACATTCCAATGATTTTGGGGAACCTTGGCAAAGCTTAATACTTTTCGACATTGGACCTAAAATCCGGCTATCACCAGATCACGCTAGCAGAGCGTGACCGTGGAAAAACAGCCTTTGCAGTTAACGGTGGGAAGTACGAATTTTGTCGACCTCGCTTTGGGTTGAAGAATGCGGCCAGCATCTTCCAAAGAACTGTTGTCGATGTATTGCGTGATCAGATTGGCAAATCTGGCTATGTCTATGTTGACGATGTCATTGTCTTCTCAAAAGACGAAAATTCTCATGTCCAACATGTAAAGTGGGTCTTAAAGAGCCTGTACGAGGGAAATATGAGAATCTTCAAGGAAAAATCGCATTTTTTTAAAGAAAAGCGTAGGTTTTCTTGGTTTCGTGGTAACCAGTAATGGCGCTACAACGGACCCTGAAAAAGTCAAAGCGATTCAGGAGTTCATAGTACCAAAGAATATATTCGAGATCAGATCATATTTAGGAGTAGCCAGTTACTATATGCGTTTCATCAAAGACTTTGCCTCAATAGCAAAACCCATTTCTAAGCTTCTAAAGGGCGAGAATAGGTTTGTAAGTAAACATAGATCGCGAAATATCCTGGTAGAATTCTCTGAGCTTCAGCGTCACGCATTCCAAAAGCTACGCAACATTTTGTCATCAGGAAACGTCATGCTCAGATACCCTGATTTTAAGAAGCCGTTTGATCTAACGACAGACGCTTCAGCTAGCGGCATAGGGGCAGTGATTTCTCAAGAGGGTCGCCCCATCGCAATGATTTCCAGAACATTCAAATCCCCGGAGGTGAACTACGCCCCCAACGAGCGGGACACTTTGGCTATAGGTTGGGCCCTTAGCAAGCTACGTCACTACCTATATGGGGTAAAAGACATTAATAATTTCGCGGACTACCAACCATTCACGTTTGCCGTTTCTGATGCAAACCCGAACGCCAAAATCAAAAGATAGAAGGAAGAAACGAATGCGTGAATATTTTATAAGCCAGGCAAGGAGAATGCGCTATCGCGACAACAGCTCAACGCTGAGTACTGATTTCGGCCACAGTTCACAGCGAGCTGTCCTCGACCTATACAATTGAGTCACCCAAAAAGCCACTTAATTGTTTCCAAAATCAAATTGTCATTGAAGAGGCACGCGTCCCCACCAAACAAAACTTCATCCTTTTCGGGGACAAGAGGCATCATGAAGTATGTTCACTGATCGCACAGCCCTTCTAGATGAACTCCTTGACTTGATTAATCCAAATGCACTTAATGCCCTTTATTGCAACCAGCACACACTAGCACAGGTGCAGGAGGGCTTCGTTCGCATGTTTCCAGGCACAAAATTCTGGCACTGCAAAAACCGATTGGCAGATGTCTTGAACATTGATGAGAGGAGAG